GGGATTTGGGGCGGAAGGGTGTATGGCAGCATCGTCGGTGCAGCCTGGGTTTGATTTACTCTGGTCCTCCGCACCCTCCCTCTCTCCTTTTTTTTCCTCGTCGTCTTCGTCGTCGTCGTCGTCCTCCTCCTACTCCTGCGTGCCTACTCTGCGCCGCTTGCCTGCATGGCTAAGATTCAGCGAGCGACGCTCAGGAGGATGTTGGGGCGTGCGTGACACGTGCGTGCGGCCAGTGAAGGGTACGGGGTAGGGTGAGGGCGGTACAGTAGGTTCGCGCCGCTTCGATGCGGCGGCGACCCCAGCTCGGGCGTTCGAGAATGGACGCTGCCAGTAGACAACATTCGGTCGATATCGAACGAGATGAACTGTGACACGAGCGTGCACCTGCCGTTCGCGCGTGCTCGAGCTTCTCCCCCTGCCAGGAGGTGCGGAGCGTCTCCGTGCGGCACGGGCAGGACGTGGCCGCAGCCTCAGCAGCTTCACCGTTCTGCCGCTGCAAGCGGCGGCACTGCACCGGCACCATCTGCTGGAGAGCGCCACATCCTGGGCCCCCGGAGGGTGTGCAGGCCCTGCTGGCCTCTGTCGGGAGGGCGTGCACGCGGCGCCGGGGCCCAGGATGGCCCTGGGCTGGGCAGGGCGATGGTGCTTGTAAGCATTGGTGGGTCTGGGACGGTCGCGCACCTTCTGGCAGGTTGCCAGCTCGGCCATCCTTCCGGCCCGGCACCTCGGCCATCCTCCCGGCACGCACCTCGGCCATCTTGCTGGCCGCCGCGAAAGATTTCACCCCGAGTCGGCCCTCGAGCTGCCTCGCCTGGACTGCCGGGGCCCCCATGTTCACCGCAAGGATGCAGATTCCCCCGGGGCTTGCAAGATTGTGCATCGATGCCTCCTGCGTGTCAGCAGCTCCGTCGTTGGTGTGTCCAGGCGCAGCAGGCGTTGCAGTGGACGGGCGCAGGCACGCCACGGCGGCTTGATCCTGCGCTTGGCCTTGCCGTGGCCTCGAGGGCGAGTTTTTTTTTCCAGAGAGCGTGCTCCCAGCCCGTCGGGCTCCAAAGGTCGGCTGATAGTGTTGAGTCGGGCGTGTCCCCCTACGGGAGGAAGATTCAAGATTGGCAACAAAAATAGTTTGGGGCTATGTTTCGACTATTTGTGGAACATGTTCGAATCTGTTGTGATTCTTTGTCGTTTTGCTTCCCAGATCTGCCTGTAGGAGGACATGCCCGACCTAATGATAGTGTTATCGATCTAAGGATTGCATGAAGGCGGAGCCACTCACACGTACTTATGTGGACTGCACGTCAGAGTGACCCTTCGCCGGAGTGACCTTTGGTGCGGGCCCTTTTGGGGTCCCCCGATCGCCGAACGCGAGGCGGCAGTAGCGTTTTGCGCGCCTGTGTTTGGCTCCCCCGAGGCCCCCCCAAAAGCCGCGCTCCAGAGGTCACTCTCACCCAGGGTCACTCCTGCGTGTAGCCGATTGAGGGCGGATCCACTCACACGTACTTATGCTCACCGAGCGCGTTCCGCTACTCGCAAAGTGCCTACTCGCAAACGTCAGAAAAAATGTCCGTTTCGATGTGATTTATCGTATATTCCCCGCGGCGGATCCAGACCATTTGCGAGTAGTCACTCTGCGAGTAGTGGAACGCGCTCGTCTATATGCACCAGAGATCGGTCGGAATGTACCACGAGCACACTTTTTGAGGTGCGTCGCATGTGCTGCGGGCGTCGGAGGGCTCACGACGCGGCCCCGAGCGAGGAGGTTGGCTTCCGGGAGCGCCATGCGCGGCCGGGACAGCGCGGGGCGGGGTCTGTGGTGCAGCCGTGCCGTTTCTGGTTCCCGGCCATGCTTCAGCACAAGGTTTGAGTCGGGCGTGTCCCTCTACAGGGGGAATATTCAAAAATAGTTAAGAATTAGTCTGGGGACGATTTTTTGACTATTTTTGTTTTTTTGGCATTTCTTGAGTATTTTGCATTTTTCGGCCAAAATCCCCCTGTAGGGGGACACGCCCGACTTAACACAAGGTGCTCTTACCTGGTCATGAGAATCGCGTTTTTCGAGACCCCTGCTGGATTTGCTAGATGTGATTGCTGCTCGCGTCGTCTTTGCTGCACCCGTGGTTGCACTTCTGTTGCTCGTATCTGGGTTTTCATTTTTTTTCTCTGGTGGAGTTGCCGCTGGCGTGGCTGCTGCTTGTGTGTTGCGGAGTTGTTGTTTGTCCCCCACATGCTTTAGCATTACGTTATCCGAGATTTCTGCCAGCTTTGCTGATGCGCTTGCTTATCATGCCGTTGTTGTACATGCGGCTGTAATGTTGTTCTTCTTGATGCTACTTTGCTGATGGGGTTGCCGCCAGTGTGGCTGCTGCATGTGGTTGTCAAATTGTTGTTTGTTCCCCACATCTGCTTTGGCATCAAAGGGGTTCTTCCCTGGTCATCAGAATTTTAATATCCGAGCCCTCTGCTGGCTTTGCTAATGTGGCCCTTGCTCATGTCATCTTTGTTGTGCAGGGTGTTGTGATATTTGATTGTTTGTTTTATTTGTATTTCTTGGTTGATGAGGTTGCCGCTGATGTGGTTATTGCTTGTGGTTGTTAGAGTCTAGTTTCTCAATTAGGTTTTAGCATCATGGACTCTGACCTGGCCATAAGAACTGTTATATCCGAGGCCTCTGCCGGCTTATAGCCCCAGCCTGCCCAGGAAGGTGCGGACTTACGATCGCAGGCCTATCGCCGATCTATCGGCGATGTAGCGCCGATTCCAGGCACAGACATGCGACGTCCTGTTTTTTTTTTTTCAGGACGGCGTCCCCAGAAGTCACGACCCTTTCCCCGGGACCGGTTTTTCATCCCGAGTCGTCTTTTGACGGTCCCGAGGCCCGGCGAGGGCCCCCCGAGGCCGAAATTGGCCCCAAACCCTCCGTCCTGATTTTTTTACGACGCGATCATGTCTGGGGGTCGATGTATCCCCCCCTTATGCCAGCACCCCCCCTATCGCTGCCCCTCAGGGGCAGAGGCAGGCTCCCTCCTCCTCCTCCTCCTCCTCCTCCTCCTCCTCCTCCTCCTCCTCCTCCTCCTCCTCGCTGGCCCTCGGCGCACGCGGCCACGCGCCCGGGGGCGCAGCTGCTCCCGTGCCTCTCCTTGGGGCTCTCGGGGGGCGCCCCCCCTGGTGGCCACGGCGGGGCGCGGCTCGACAGACTGGCCAGGAGGAGGGGGGAGGGAGGAGGGAGGGGGGGGAGAGGAGGGAGGGAGGGAGGGAGGGAGGGGGGAGGGAGGGAGGGAGGGGGGAGGGAGGGGGAGGGAGGGGAGGAGGGAGGGAGGAGGGGAGGAGGAGGGAGGGAGGAGGGAGGGGGAGGGAGGGAGGGGAGGAGGAGGAAGGAGGAGGAGGAGGAGGAGGAGGAGGAGGAGGAGGAGGAGGAGGAGGAGGGAGGAGAGGAGGAGGAGGAGGGAGGAGGAGGAGGAGGAGGAGAGGAGGAGGAGGAGGAGGAGGAGGAGGAGGAGGAGGAGGAGGAGGAGGAGGAGGAGGAGGAGGAGGAGGAGGAGGAGGAGGAGGAGGAGGAGGAGGGAGGAGGAGGAGGAGGAGGAGGAGGAGGAGGAGGAGGAGGAGGAGGAGGAGGAGGAGGAGGAGGAGGAGGAGGAGGAGGAGGAGGAGGAGGAGGGGGAGGCGGAGGAGGATTCGATCCGACGGTTCTTTGTTCGACGTCTGCGTCGGCCGGATCGATCCGATTCGGTTCCTGTGCTCCGACGGTCCGATGCGGCCCGATGCTGGCACGGCATTGCGGTACATTCCGGCGCGACAGCTTCGATTCGATTCCGACTTCCGCGCTGGTGCGCCCCGACGGGGATACCATCTCCGATTCGATCTGATTTCTCGATTCGAGGCAGACTGCTCCTGAGCTTAAGTCGGGCGTGTCCCTCTACAGGAGGAATATTCAAAAATAGTTTAGATGGGGACGATCTTTAGATTATTTGTAGGTTGTTTTTGAGTATTTTTGGCCATTAATGTATTTTTCTTCCAAAATCCGCCTGTAGGAGGTCATGCCCGACCTGATGATACCATCTCCGATCCGATCTGATTTCTCGATTCGAGGCAGACTGCTTCTGGGCCCATGTCGCACCCCGTTTTCCAGCCTTCGCAGAGGCTGCGAGGCCGAGGGACTGGGTGCGGGGTATTTTTTTCCACGTCGGTGGCTGCGTGTACCGCAGAGACCATTGCACTGGATGACGCTCTGTCGTATCTGCACAATCTCCCTTCCGAGTCCCACATCCACAATCGCAGCAAGACGAACTGCTGCCAGACTTTGCATCCTTGTCCGTGGCCAGACCATTGCTCTGAGAATGTTGGCTCAGCGCTGCGCGCTGGAGGGTTGCGAAAGGGTGGTGGGTCGCCACGAGAGGTCTTCGGCGTGGGCGGCTGGGTTGTGCTCGCTGGCAAGTTAGGGACATCATGCGCCCTCTTTCGTTGAGAGAGCATGCGCCACCCCTGCGTCGCCACAATAGCTGGACTTCTCTGCGTCCGTGCCCCCCCGTGGGTTTGGTGTGGATAGGAGGCTTTCCAGAGGAGGGCCTCGCCGCCGAAGGATCGAGGAGTTGAGATGCCCCTCCTCTGCGCGAGGCGGCTGCTTCGGCCCGCGGATGGCGGCCGAAGCAGAGCGAGGGCGGCTCGGCCAGCGGAAGCCGGCGGACGTAACATCGGGCGGAACGAAAGGGTAGGATAGGGAAAGGGGGGCTACGAAACTTGTTGCATGCAGCTGGTTTCCGTCCCGCCGCTGGGCCCATTCATTCCTCGATACATGGGCGCCGCCTGGCGCCAGGAGGCGCCAGGCAAACCAGCTACGTGAGCTGAGTATCTACCCTGCCCGTTGCTATCCTACCCTTTCGCCCCCCGATGAAAGGCAGCCTGCCAGGGCATGACAACACTTTTGGAATGAGGGTGTCCGGAGCGGCATGTGCATGTCTGAAATATGTGATATCAGATATGTGCGCCTCACCCATCGCCATTTGAGTTCAAGCGCTTGTGGCTCAGGCCACAAGTCTCAGGTTGCTGAGACCAAGAACTCGGATCACCGCATCCAGAGCCAGGGGCTCTTTCGGTAGCAAATCATGGGAGCCTAGTCTACCCTTGTATTCCGTCTTTCGCGTCGAGTGGCGTCGATTAGCGTCTGGGGGTCGACGAGTCAGCGCCGATTTAGCGTCGGCTAGCGCCGACCAGCGTCGAGTTAGCCTCGATTGGCGTCGATTTGGCGTCGATTCGCGTCGATTCGCAAGAGCCGACAAGATGCGATGGGAGGCTCCCGTGAGCTGCCACCGAAGGCTCTACGTCTCCTATAGCAGACTCCGTGGTCCGGAGGCTCGCTGCCTCGGGCAGGCGCCATGACCTCGCGCGCTCTGTTCGGCAACCCCGACTCGGAGATCGACCATGAGTTCGGGGAGCGGCTGATGAAGAAGGACCCGAAGACGGCCGTGAACCAGTTCTGCCAGCGCTTCTGCAACCGGCCCATCAACAAGGAGGACGTCATCTACACCGTGTCGAAGTACCCCCAGGGCTACCAGGCCACGGTGAAGCTCAACTGCATCGAGGGGCAGGAGTTTGCCGGCGCGGTGGCCAACAGCCAGAAGGAGGCGGAGGCGCAGGCCTCGCAGCAGATCCTCGACTTCTACGCCGAGCAGATCAACAACATGAGGAAGCCGCCGAAGAAGAAAAAGAAGCGGCCGGCCACCCAGCCTCCGGGCACACCGCCTCCGCCGCCGCCCAAGCCTGGGGACCCGCAGCCAGAGCTGGACCCGTCCATCTCGGCGAAGGGCAACCTGAACGCGCACGTCGGGAAGATCCTCCGGCGCGTGCTGGAGAAGGACGAGGTGCTGTACGAGACGCAGCAGGTGGTCGGCGGCTACCAGTCCACGGTCCGTATGCCAGGGCTGCCAGACGACTGGGGGCTGCAGATCTTTGCTGGGGAGGTGTGCCACAAGAGGCAGGACGCGGAGCAGAGCGTTGCCCAGCTCGCCCTCGACGCCATCCGTGCCGACGAGGGCCTCATGGCCAAATACAATCTGCCGGCCAAGGTGAAGAACTGGATACCGATTGGCACCGGGCGCGCCATGGGGAAGGGCCACCAGGGGCCAGGGAACATTTTCGGCGGCAAGGCGTACTGGAGACCACCTGCCTGAGGAGATGTCGTATGAAAACTCGATGGGAGCACACATGGTGTTTGGATGCCCGAAACCTAGCCCCAGGGGCCCCAGGGCCGCAGGCTACCATGGGCACCCAGGGTCCCCCAAGTGGCGCCTCCTCTCCAGGAGCCTTTGGGCTGTCTCCCTCGGCTTTGCGGGCTCCCCAAATCCAGCAATGCCCTCCGAGATGTCCCAGCAGGTGTGCACGGCGGCCCACCATTGCGTCAAGGCGTTTTAAGAAACCCCCTCGACGTTCGAAGAGGGGCCCACTGGGACCCCAAGGGGGGCCCCAAGAGGAAACGTGCATCGATTTCCCTGGGGTGATTCGAGATTTCAGCGCTCTCCTTTTTTCCATCCTCCGAGCGCCCAGGACGGCTCAAGGGCGTCCAAAGCCGCCCCACGACCACCCAGGAGGACTCCAAGAGGGCCCCAGGAACGCTCCAGGACGGCCGACGAGGCCCCCAAGACGGCCCAAGAGGCCCTCAGCATGCCCCAAGGGCCCGGCAGCGGGGCTCCAGGTGCCCTCCCCCTCAGCACGGCCCCCAGGACCCTCGACGCGCCCAGAAGAAGCCACGGAGATATCCCCAGAGGCCCCCACGACTCCCCCAGCATCCTTCCAGCCCTTGGGAGATCTCCAAGCCAGCCCTCGGTGGCCGTCCTGGGGCTCTCCCTCGGTGGCCGTCCTGGGGCTCTCTTGGGTGCGGTGCGGACAGCAGCGGGGGGGAGCACAAGTGCTCACCTATACGACCACCCTTCGGGTGATAAGGAGGTTCGGGGGGGGGAAAGGAACCAACGTCTCACTCGATCGGTCTCACTATCGATCTCACTATCGATCTCACTATCGGTCTCGCTCGATCGATCTCACTCGATCGATCTCACAATGGATCTCACTCGATCTATTTCATTCGATCGATCTCACAATCGATCTGACTAGCGATCTCACAATCGATCTCACTATCGATCTCACTATCAATCTCACAGTCGATCTCACATTCGGTCCCACCATCGATCTCACTATCGATGTCACAATCGATCTCATAATCAACGTCATCATCATCAATATTGTTGTCATCAACGTCATCAACATCATCATCATCATCATCATCATCATCATCATCATCATCATCATCATCGTCGGGACACCATCATCATCACCTCATCACCTCATCACCATCATCATCAACACCATCAGTATCATCACAATCATCATCATCAGCATCGGGACACCATCACCGTCACCATCATCACCATCAACATTATCATCATCATCATCGGGACACCATCATCATCATCGGAGCACCATCACTATCACCATCTCATCAAGATCATCATGAACAACATCAGCATCATCATCATCATCATCATCATCATCATCATCATCATCATCATCATCATCATCATCGGGACACCATCATCATCAACAACATAATCACCATCAACATCATCATCATCATCATAATCATCATCGTGACACCATCATCATCGTCACCATCATCATCATCATCATCATCATCATCATCATCATCATCATCATCATCATCATCATCATCATCGGGACACCGTCATCATCAGCATCATCATCATCATCATCATCACCATCATCGGGCCACCATCATCAAAATCATCATCATCACCTCATCATCAGCATCCTCATCGTCAACATCATCATCATCAGGACACCATCATCATCAACATCATCATCATCATCATCATCATCATCATCATCGGGGCACCATCATCATCACCATTATTATCAGCAGCATGATCATCAACCTCCTCCTCATCATCATCATCATCATCATCATCTTCTTCATCATCATCATCATCATCGAAACACCATCATCATCATCATCATCATCATCATCATCATCAGCATCATCATCATCATCATCATCATCATCATCATCATCATCATCATCATCTCATCATGATAGTTGTTCCTGGCCCGAGCTGGGATTCAGATGAATCAGTGAAGACTCGGGTCTTGTACAGGCAGGCTTAGGAACAGCTGTCGTCTGTGCGGGCCTTACATGGCAACGAGAGATGTCCGCCACCCGGAGTGGACATGCGGGGCTTGCGCCAAAACGGGCACATCGTGTTCGAACTGGGCCAGCCGGACCGCGTGCCGCCGCTGCGGGGTGGCCAGGAAGAAGCAGAAACCAAGCCTGGTCGTGTCCTACGGGGGCGGAGGCAGCAGGAGGCCGGCCCACTGGGGACCGTGGCTGGACAAGCCCTCGGCCTGGCATCGGGGTGGCGCCACCCTCGCCGAGCGCTTCCGGGGCAAGGCAGGGTCTGAGGCGTCGGCGGTGCAGGACGCGGACGGTTCGCTGCCCCTCCTGCTCGACCAGGATGTGCTGGAGATCGAGGCTGCTGGCGTCGAGGCGCAGGTCGCGCAGTACGGCCTCGGGGACAAGCCAGTCGAGGAGTGGGGGGCCAAATTTGCCTCCCTCGCCTGGCGGCGCCAGGTGGCCGAGAGTAAAGCAAAGCTGGCCGCCCCCAAGGAGGCGCCCAAGCTGCAGAACGTGCTGCACCGCAAGGCGGAGGGAGAGCAGAAGGTCGCGAAGACCAAGAAGCGGGTGGAGGCGCTGGTGCCGGAGCGCCGCAGCCCAAGCAGTGGCGGCGGGCACCCGGGATCGCGCGGGTGCGGCCCCCAACGGGGCCCCCCCTCCGCAGGCCCTCGGTGGAGGAGGGGCGCGCGGCCGCCAAGGCCTTTAGCCGGAGCGTAGGCCTGGGCGCCGACCAGCTCAACCCGCGGCAGTTGGAGTACGTCTCCGACGGCTTGCTGGACGTCCTCATCTCCTTCTGCATGGCGGCGGAGGCGATCGGCACGCTGCCTGACGCGGCCGTCGGAGCCTTGCTGGTCATGCTGGCCGAGGAGAACGGGGGCTGGCGGCCCATCGGCTTGCTGCAGTGGCTGCCGCGCTGGTGGGCCAGGGCCCGTCTCCCGGAGGCCCGGGCCTGGGAGGCAGGGATCGCCGACGAGGCAGCGGCCAATTTCTGGGGGAGCCAGGGCAGAGCTGCGGCGGAGGCCCTCCGAGGCCGTCTGGTGGCAGGCCTTGCACAACGAGGCCAGCCGCGCGCAGCAGGTGAAGATCGGATGCGTGCTGCTGGATTTGTGGAAGGCCAACGAGGTGGTCTCGTTGGCCATGGCCCAGGGCCGCGCGCTGGACATGGGCTACCCCGAGCAGCTGGTGCAGGAAGCCCTGTGCGTCTACGCGGGCCCCAGGCACATCATGATCGACGGGGTCGTCAGCTCGGCGTGCTACGAGCTGGCCAGTGGACTTGTCGCGGGCTGCAGCCACGCGGGCAGGATCCTCCGCTGTGCGATGATGGTGTTGGATGCGGAGCATCGGCGCTGCTGGAAGGAGGTGGACGTGGCCATCATGTTCGACGATTGCTCGCTGCGCATGGCAGGGTCGTTCTGGGAAGTTGCCCACTTCCTTGGCGGCGCGGCCCGCGACTTCATCCAGGGGCTGGAGGCGGACATGGGCTGCGTCGTCTCCCGCTCCAAGTCGCAGGTGCTGGCCTCATCGAGCGGACTGAGGGGCGCCCTGGTGAGGATCATAAGCCAGGGGGAACTCCAGCAGGCCGAGGAGGCGCGAAACCTGGGCGTGGACTACGGCGCGGTGGCAGGCGCTGCGGCGGTGGCTACCAGGCGCCGCGCCAAGGCGGCGGAGCAGTCCGCTCGCATCGCCCAGGCCCGGGGCGCGCGCATCCCCAGCGCGCGCAGGCTGGTGACGGCCGGCTCGCTGCCGGACACCGAGTTCGGGTGCGAGGCCATGGCCTGGTCGGACAGAAGGCTGCAGCGGTGGAGGGGCCAGGTGGCCGCGATGCTTTTCGGGCGCGCGCCCGGGCGCAGCGTCGCCCTCAGCTTCCTGGTCTCGGCCTCGGTGCGCGATGACCCGCTGTTCCAGCACGTCTACGAGCCCCTGGATGCGTGGGCCAAGCAACTGGCCGCTCGCCTGCAGGACCGAAGAGCCATCATGAGCGCGTTCATGGGGGCGAAGGAGGTCGAACAGGACAAGGGGCCAGCCGGTCTCGCAGCGTCAGGGCCAGCGGGCGCTGCGTTGTTGGCATGCCGCAGGCTGGGATGGCATATGACGTCCGTCAAGCTGGTCCCAGACGACCTCGAACGCACGGTGGACCTCATGGAGGTCGGGCACCATGCCATCAAGGGCCTCGTCGAGTCGGGGCTGGTCAGGGCGCCGTGGCGCGAAGTGGCAGACCACCACTCGGAGCTGGAGGCGGTCCGCCGGGGTGGCGCCATCGTGAGCGCGCGGTACAAGTTCCTGGCGAAGAAGGCCTCGGCGCGAGTAGCAGCGTGCAGCTCTTCGGCCCGCAACGCCATGGTAGGCTGCTTGTGGCCGGTTGCGCGGCGCGCGAGGGCGAGCCCGCCGCTCGCGTCCTCGGCTCGCTGCCCGTGGGGCTGCGAGGAGGCGGGCACCGTGCGGCATTTGGCGTGGCGCTGCCCTGCGCTGGATGGACCGCGCCGCCTCCAGCGCGGGGGGTCGCCCAGCTTCGCGGTGCTGCAGGAGGCGGCGGCAACCCCCTGCGACGGCGAGGAGCATTTCACATGGTCGCGGGGGCTCCTGGCCGATCCGAGGTCGGAGGCGCCGCAACCCTTCCTGACCATCATCGTTAGGCGCGCGGGCAGCCACCCAGGCGACGTCATGGTGCGAGAGGTGTTCCTGGATGGTTCGGCAGTGCGCACCCGCGACCGCCAGCTGGCTCGAGCGGGCTGGGCCGCGGTGACGACGTGGGCCAATGACACCGAGCGCGCGGCCATGTGGGGGAACGTGCCGTGGCCGCTCCCGCAGGGCAGTGGCGCGGGCGAGCTGCAGGCTGCGGTCATGGCCCTTCATCATTGCATCGGCCCGATCATCCTTTACACGGATTCGTCCCTGGTCTACGACGGATGGATTGCGGGGGCGCGGTGGTGCACTGCATGGAGGAGGGCGCATCGCGAGGCGTGGCGCCAGTTCTGGCGGCTCGTCGAGGACCACGGCAGCGACAACATCGGCGTTG